GTCCTGATCACTCCTAACTTGTGTTCCAGTGGGTGGTGGGAGTCAAATGCCACTCTAATATTTCATTGGACCACTTTTAGCTTTGATTACAGCGCACATTCACTGTGGCATTGTTTAGATAAGCTTCTGCAATGTCCAAAGATTTATTTCCATCCAGAGTTGTATTCATTTTTCACCAAGATCTTGCATTGATGATGGTAGAGTCTGACCTTCTCCAGCACATCCCAAATATTCTCACTGGACTCTGTGGAGCCAGTCCATGTGTGAAAATGATGGCTCATGCTCCCTGAACTAGCCTGGTGAAAACCAGACCCTTGTCCTTCACTTTGCTTCGTACAAGGGACTCGCGGCTATAGAGAAGTGATTCTTGCTGGAGGCGTGGCCTCTGCTGAAGTTTATGTATCGCTGTGAAGGAGGCTAAGCTAAGAAGCTAACTGGAAATCGTGCGCGCTGTAAACAACCCTACTGAGAGGAGAGAATTACCAAGCCAAACGAGACGACTATAAATGAGAGCTGCTGCTTTGTCAGACAAATTTATTTTAATTTGGAAGCCTTATCAACACCGACTGGCTTCATTCACTTCCTCCACTGCCATATGCTAAACTAACTAGCAGACACTGTGCAGAACATCAACGTCGTTCAAAACTCCGCCTTCTGTTTGCTGATTGGCCCAGGTCAAATAAACTACAAGCAGACACTGTGCAGAAAATCGACATTCTGTTCTCTGATTGGTTCGACTAAAAATCTGCCAGCAAAATCCTTCTCTATGGGAGAAATGCCAGACGGAGCAGTGAAGGGAAACTAGAATTGATCGGAACTGCATAGGAAGGCAAGGGCCAGGCTATCCATGAACCACTCTTTCATAATTCCAGCCCCATGAATCCTGGCATTGTCATCTTGGAATATGGCCGTGCCATCAGGGAAGAAACAATCCACTGATGGAATAACCTGCTCATTCAGTATATTCAGGTAGTCAGTGAGCACAAACTGTTGCTGAACCTAGACCTGACCAACTGCAGCAACCCCACATTATAGACCTTAATCCAGGAGGAAGTTAGGTGCAGTTGAGGGTTATGTGTCCTGCTCAAGGACACCACAACGTGTGGGCATGGTGGGGAGTTGAAACTGTGACTTTCTGGTCCCAAGYCAAATGCACCACAGCCGCCCATAAACTGGACCACAGCCATCCATTAAATCCAGGTGGTAACTTTTTTTTTCTTTTGGCCGGGTTGTGTATTCAGCCACTGAGACGTTACTGTAACAGGTGTATTATATCTACAATTTTATGCTTAAAAAATAATAAAATTTTAAAAAATGCTGAACTATTGAATACATGGAGCTGTGCCTAAAACATGTTTTCTCACCAGCTATTTAAGGTCCAACCCTCATGAGAAAAGTAAGCACTGCCAGTCAAATTATTTTCCATCCATTTACCGAGTGCCTGCCTAAGCTCAGTTTTCCATGTGTTCCAATGTGAACTGCCAGCCTGAGTATTATTGGCTCACGATAAGAGTTGGTTGTAATATGGRTCTATGAAACACGCACATTTAGAAATGCCCCCCGACCCGAGCTTTAAGACAAAACAGACATTGCGGTATGAAACTTGTGTATAACACACACTCACAGCCTAGTACAGCTATCTTCATGGGGACATTTCATTGACTTCCATGAATTTCTACAGCCTAACCCTGACCCCTTACCCTTAATCTAACCGCACAGGTACATACCTGACCCAAAACTAACCTAAACTCAATTCACACCTTAGTCCTAAACTTAACCGCCAACCCAAAAATAAAGTTCCACCATATCAGTACTGGTCTTTGGTCCCCATAAAATCCACTGGTCATGAGATTAGATTAAGACATCCCTCGAACACACATAAAAGTTACCCGCTGATTTGAACCAAAGGAAAACATGACACCACCAGGGAGACTTTTAATGTTGAATTACATTGTGCTCTACGTAATGTTGCAGAGACAAAAAGGGGATAAAACGAGGACAAAAACGTGTGCTGTGTGTGTGTGTGTGGGTGATGTAGTGGTTTTATGTGTTCACATCTGTGCTACATCCTGTTCTCTTTACAGACCATAGACAAGAGGCACATCTGTGCTGCGCCGGGTCTGACCCAACACATCAGATGGAACTGCAGCATGACTCACCGAACGAAAACAATCAATACAATCATGACAAAAGAGCTGACATGGCTACACTTAAAAAGTGCTGGGATCTCAATTTTCCTATAATATCTGTAATAAGAACGACTATTGCCATSTTGAAGTGAGTATAAAACTTTCTGCCAGCCTTTTTATGTTTATATTTTTCGTCTCTTTCGGTGAGTTTCTAAACATCTTAGTAAATCTGATGCAACGAGGAGCCAAACCTGAATAAAACTGACTCTTGAAACAATGAAAGATCCCTTAAACAGCTGTATCAGGTTTGCTGACACGAACATCTGGATGTTTAGGACTCCTCTGTGAACTCAAGCCATATTACTTTCTATATTTAAAACAGGAGTTACTTTCCCACTGAATCTATACTCACTGAATGTTTGCTCACGGGGTAATAACCACTAACGAAACACTCCAGGTGGCTCAAACACCACAWACAGGTAAGTGATAAAAACTGCTGCTACACGCTTTAGCGCTGCAGTAAAGTCGGTGTCCCGTGTTCAAGCACTGTTTTGGCTGCACTTTCAGATCAAACTCTGTTAAACAAAAGATTCAAAAACATTWAAAAAATTTAAATAGCATATCTGATTATGTTTGTAACTACATTGCAGTTTGTGGTAATAACCCTACGTCTTGTCAAGTTTTTTTTGCAAAATAACAATGAACATAGTTATAAAGTTCAGACTCACCCTCAGACCAGGAAAGCCATTAATGCCAGTCCCACCAACAGGGCCCTGCAAAGCATCATAGCAGCATTTAAGTACACGGACAGGACAATTAAAATATTTTTATATGGTATATAATTATAACATTTAGTGTCCTGAATGACTAACCACTTGAGTATTTTTTTGTATGCAGTACAAGACGGTTCATTAAAATTAATGGCTGAAGAAAAACCTAACGTGTTAAGCATTATCTTGTACAATATGCCCCCTCCCCACCAAAAATAAATAACTACCCAAACACAAACAAAAATAAACTTGTAGTAAGCAGGAAAACCCAAAGCTTGTGGAGTTGGTAGTAAAATGGTAYGAGTCACAAGACTGTTAAACACAGGTAATTATCAGGAAGCAGAAAAGAGTTTTTACCTGTTTGCCATCTGGACCAGGGGGTCCCCTCTCCCCCACATCACCCATCACACCCTATGGGAAAAGCAAACCCAATTTTAAAATTTTAAAAAACGTCAGGTAAACCTTTTATAATATAAATGTTAAAACACTCAGTTTATTTGACTTCTGTCATAGGATTRAGTTTTTTTATTTATGTATTTGTACACGTTTATTTCTTACACTGTTTAAAAGGTTGCATAATTTAGAAAAGCTAAATGGTATTGGTTTTATTAATGTTTTAAAGGGGAGTTCWTGCATGCTTGCTGACACAAAGTCCYGCCTATTTGTACAAAGCTCCTCCCCGGAGCTCAGYCTGCCGCCCCACAGAGAACCCTTGCCGTGAAGATGTGCTGAAGTGGGAGTGTCAGAAACAGYAGGAGGTTTTGTGTTGTATGAAGTCTCTCTGTTTTATGAGATTGCAAACTTTCTGTGGTGGATTTTCTTGATAAGCAACAGAAATTGATGCATGATTACATGTCTTCCTTTGGGACCAGGTTTTCCAACAGGACCGGGAATGCCCTGAAAAAAAAAAAGATGGACTGATTAGTCAAAGGAGACTGTAAAAATTAAGCTGAAATAAAGAGGTGTTTCACCGGAAAAGGATGAATACTGAGATCATAGAATTTCAAACATGTGTTTGTCTGGAAAAAACATAGAAAGTTCTTCCTGCTTTATTATTTTAAGCTTAAACAATCATATTAGGTTTCATTTGTATAAAATAACTGATCACTATCTATC